CGCAGGAACCCAAAAACTAGGTTTGAGAACCCAGATCTGGGTTCCTTGTGTAGGAACCCAGAATGGAGGATGGTGAAGATGATGCCAAGGATGAAGGGAGAAAGAAAAAAAATGAAGAAATGCCATTTGTGTTACTGTTTGGTAATATTATAATTTTTTGTTGCTCTCACTAAACACATGGCGTCCACGTGTGCAGAAAAGAAGCCACATCATCAAAAAGCAGATCCACATCTGAACCTGACGAATAAAAAAACACCGCATGTGCCACATCAATTTTTGGGTGCCACATAGTGCATTTTTTAACGGTGCCGTGACAATGGGTTAAAATATTGGGTTTTTCACGGGTTTTGAAAAGTGGAAGGTGTGAATAAAGAGGAAAAATTCTGAAAGATGTTGACCGCGAAAAAAAAAAAATGGATGGTGCAAATAGGGGCTTTGGCCAAAATTTAAAAATGTTTCAATCTGCTTTATCTCTTTTTTTCAAGTTTGCCTATTAAGACTCAAATATAAACATGATGAATAAGTTGAATCAAAAACCCCCAATGTTAAAGTATGAAACCGTGTTTAAATGGAGAATTGTGAGGTGCGCGTATGCCCTTCCTCACTCCTAACTGAACCTCCGAACCCCAATCTTTGCGCAGACCCGTTTTAGGTGACTCGTCCCACAATTTGGATGAGTAGCAACTCCCTCCTTTTTATATTTTTCACACTTGATTTTCAATTTATTTTGAAAAAATTTTAAAGTGGTTGTCAACACCCCCCCCGCCCCAAGTCATTCACTTGTGAATGATTGACTGGAGGAGGTAAAGTGAATGTAAAGTGTATGGCACGTAGTCACGTTATTATGGCAATAACCAAAGTAAAAATTCATGACATGTAGTCATGTTAATATGGCCGTAGTCAAAGTAAAAATGCATGACACGAAGTCATGTTAATATGGCTGTAATAGAAGTAAAAATGCATGAGATATCAGTTAGAGGTAAAATACTTGTAGTGATAAGAGGTATATTTGTGTAAACAGAAAGATTTGGGCTGGGTTTAATTTGGCCCACATAATGAGCCTGAAGAGGAGTTAGTCCATGATACGATAGTTGTCCTTGAAGGACGTGCTTAATAAAGATGGGTTATAAAAAGTAACTATTATAGTTCAAATAATGCAATAAAAAAATGAATTGTTGAATTCGAAAGGGTTCCATTAGGAATTAACCGTTGAATTCGAAATGGGATAATTATTATCGTTAGATGGGATTAATCATGGCTGTTGAGACGAATACGTGTGTTAGTATATATAGTCATTTTTCTATAAATTTTTATTACTTTACCGTATTTGCTACTGAAGTGTTGCCAAAATTTCAACCGAGTTAGTATGATTGAACTTCCGTGTGAAGTGTTTTGGGTTCAACACTAAGTGAGGAAGTTAAGGTAATTGAGCATGAGGAGATGAGTTTAGAAACTAAATCCTCTGGGTCGAAAAGGATTGAGGAGCTGATAGGTGGGGATGAGGGTATTCCTTCCAATATCTTAGAAGTTTAGGAGGGTGAAAATAAGTGTTATGATGAGACAACTGAAATTGTTTTTGAGGTAATGGGGTATGAAATAGAATGGCAGATTAGGAGTAGCCTTGTTCATTTAGTGGAAGCTTATGACCTCCCACCCTAAGTGTTAATTAGGCTTGTTGGGGTGGAAGAGAGGGCGTGCTTAGCACCCCATGACCACTCAATGCCCATTTATGTGCATTATTTAGCAGCAGCACTAAGGTTTCCCATCCCTAAGCTTTTGGTTGGGTTATTGCTAAATTATAGCATAGGTTTAACTCAATTGGCCCCTAACATAATGAGGGTGGTGATAGGTTTCCTAATTTATTGCCGAGCTCGAGGGGTGAGGGTACCTACTGTAAATATATTTAAATATTTTTTTGTGATAAAGAGTGGGAGTAAAAAGGAGAAAGGGTGGTACTATTTCACACCCTGAGTATCCAACAAGGAGAAAAGGAATTAACACTTAGGGTGGATCTGTGTTGGGTGAGGGAAAAGGTCTTAGCTCATGGTGGTGTTGGGGTCGTGTGCTATGTTCTTGAGGTATTATTCAGCCGCATGGTACAATTATTATATATTTTGTTTCACTCTTCCTCTTTTCTCTTTTTGGTTTTTTGACTGTTGTGATTGTTGTAGGCTATGAATTTGGTGAATGCCCTATCATAGGAATTTTTTGAGAGCCTCAAGAAGCATAACAATTTAGAGAAGGAAAATGAGGAGCTTGGAATGAGGAAGGAAGAAAAGGACAAGGATGTGGAGGAGTTGACCTCGAAGGTTGAACAACTCTGAGAAGAAAATGATAATTTAAAGAAGCTGCTCCACTTTAAAGAGGACAAAAGGAAGATTTGTGAGATTAAAATAGCAGATCAGAGTAAGGTGATTACTGGGGTGAGGAAGGCAGCTACCGAGTTGGAAAAGAGTGTGAACCTTTGGGTTCACAATGCGATAGAGGTTTATATCACTGAGTTTCTAAAGTCTAGCTCTTTTGACAATATTATCAATCTTTACCAGCTGCCTACTGCAATTCTTGCATTTACAAACTGTAGGAAGAAGGTGAAAGCGCAACGTCTCGAGCTAGATATAACGAGTATCACCTTCGAAGATCAAGAATGAGGAGTGGAGTAGAACAGTGAGAGCATGACTGCTGACTTCCATCCCGAAGTCAAGCTAAAATGGGATTATGACAATGAGGGTTGCAATATTTTTCCTTCGAACTTCGACTTTGAGTTCGTTGCAGTTGAGGACAAAGAACCAGAGGTGGTCGAGGGTGCTGAGGTTAGTGAAAATGAACTAGAGGAACCAATGAACCAGCAACCTCCACTAGTAGAGTAGTCATCCTTGTTTTAATGATCTCGTTATTTTGTTTTGGACAATTTATTTGAAACATTCTTGTAATTTTCCTACATTTATTTGATTGATACATTTGTGATTTGTTCTATTCTTCTATTTCGTAGTTGTTCAAGGTAAAGATTGAAATAAAATCTAGAATCACCTCGAATATGTGGTGGAATTATCATTAATGGGATATAGGTTTAATAGTTGAACTGAATAATAGATTCACCTCAGACAAAGGAATAAAAAAATGTAAAGTAAAATTGGACAAAATTCGCTTAAGGGATTGAATTAAGGATAAAATTTGTTTAAATTGTTGACATTCTAGACTTAAGGAATCTTCTTTCCCTCAGCGTCTTGAAGAATACACCCACCTAGGTGTGGTACCTCAATCACTGTGTAAGGGCTTTCCCAGTTCGGGGCCAACTTTCTAAACCGGGTTTCAAACCCTATGAGGCTAGCTTTTCTAAGAACAAGGTCACCAAATGAGAAGGTTCGAGGACGGACTCATTTGTTGTAAAAGTTTGCTAGCTTTTGCTTGTAGGATAAAGTTTGAAGTTGGGCTTCTTCTTTAACTTCAGCTAGTAGATTTTCTAAGAACAAGGTCACCAAATGAGAAGGTTCGAGGACGGACTCATTTGTTGTAAAAGTTTGCTAGCTTTTGCTTGTAGGATAAAGTTCGAAGTTGGGCTTCTTCTTTAACTTCAG